ATTCCAGTCAGTTCATATCTATCTATCTATCTATCTATCTATCTATCTATCTATCTATCTATCTATCTGTCTGTCTGTTTCCGTCAATTCATTATCTATTTCAGTCTGTTCATATCTATCTATCTATCTATCTATTACACTCTTCCACGCTGCGTGTATATGACGACCAAATTAGAAAGCCCCGTTTTATAAACTATCGATCTGTTTCGGTTGCGACGAACGACTTCACTGACCGCCGAAACGAAAGGGATGGACGTGGGGCGGAGGAAACGCAGCGCGAAAAGGAGAGTAATCACCGAGAACCGCATGCGCACACGGGGCTGCAATCGTGGGGGAATTTACGCAGTGTGGCACGATTCAAACCAGCAGCGAACACGACACTAACCATTTTCACCTGGCTCGCTTATGAGGCTGGCAACGCAAAAATAAATCAACCAAACATACCGTGGCTCACATGCCTATAGATATGCAAACATATAAGAAGAAGGGTCAGGCATTGTCAAGGTTGACAACCAAAGTAACAGTTATTTTTCGAGGCGGCTGCCTAGAGTTGCATGTCAAATCAGAAGCAGTACTAGCTTATATATATATATATATATATATATATATATATATATATAGATAGATAGATAGATAGATAGATAGATAGATAGATAGATGCATAAGATTGGTGTATAAGGAATAAATTTCAATAACCCCAAAAAAAAAACACTATTCTTAAAAGAAAACCCAATACAGAGTAGAGCAAATATAATTTATTCGAAAATCATAAAATAAAAATCTTATAAAATCACTACAAAAATAGCCATTTTGTTTCAACACTTCTAGTGTCCTATCAAGATAGGACACTAGAAGTTTGTTCACTTAGTTCATTTTATAGATAAACACCATCACTTGATAAGACATCAGAAGTGTTGAAACCAAATGACAATTTTTGCAGTGATTTTATAATATATTTATGTTATGATTTTCGAATAAATTATATATATATATATATACATACATATATATATTAGAAAATATACTAAGTCCGACAATTATTTTAATATATTTTATTGTTATACTTTATTTATATAAACACAAATATTTAAGTAAATGCTCTGTTTATAATAAACAGTATTAAACAACGTTTATCGGCCTGGCATGTCCGTGAAAATTCCTAGAAAATATGCGATCCCCGACAGGAATCGAAACTGTATCCTAGACAGAACCCTCATATAGCCTGACCTGTTATACCACTTAGCTACAGACGAAATGGCATACCACATCATTCATATATATATATATATATATATATATATATATATTCAGTCATATGCTGCAAAATAATTTCTATGGGGATTTCATGTTATTGTTGTCTAAAAACTGGGAAAATCTCGTTTAATTTATGTTGTTTTTTTTTTTTTTATAGATGAAATTCTCATTAACCTTCCTGTTTGGACTAATAGCATTTTACTTTATTTATTTATTTATTTATTTTTGTGATCCTTATCTCCCAGGAGAATGCTAAAAGATCTCCCGAAATATAGATGTTCCAGCAGCTATAATACTCTCTCTCTCTTTCTCTCGCTCTCTCTCTCTCTCTCTCTCTCTCTCTATATATATATATATATATTAAGATATTTTTATGTTTATACATTTTCTTTTTTTTTTATAGATACAAATATTGAAGTAAATGTTCTGTTTATAATAAACAGTATTAACAACATTTACCGGCCTGTATATCCGGGGAAATTGTCATAGAAAATAGGCGTCCTTATAAACAGAGCATTTACTTACATATTTGTATCTATAAAAAAAAATGTATAAACATAAAAATTGTCTTAAATTATTGTTGGACTTTGTTCATTTCATGATGTGTGACGTCATTTGCTTACATTTGGATACGCATCGAGCAGATATGAATGTACGTGAGAAGGTCATGGAAAATTGTAGTTTAAAATCAGTAAAATCGACCTTGCTAACCGAAACGCTTCTCTGTGGCTCCGTCGGTAAAAGCACGTCAGGCTATATGACGGTTCCTTATAGGATAAAGGTTCGATTCCTGTCGGAGGACGCATATTTTCTATGACAATTGGGTTAGATCCAGTGACAGGACCGAAAGAGTATGAGTTCAATACCCGGTTAAGGCAGTGGAGAAATTTCAGAGGAAAATTAACAGGAGATAACTGATAACTGACATCCATTAAACATGGCACGTGGAACTAGAACAGTCTACCCCAGTCAGCGAAATAAAGGGTTAAGTTCGACGTTCCAGCTACCTGGAGAAGGCCGGAGCATACCATGGCCGAAAGGTTGTAATAAATATGGCGACAAAGATGAGGGCAATAGTCCGAATAATGTAACACTAGTAACACTAGAATAAGCTACTATTGCACCTGATTTGTCATGCCTCTTTAGGTAACAGCATCGAAAAATGACTGTGAACTTCGTTATGTCCCACCATCCTTCTTATCTATAATTCTCGGACTTAGTTCATTTCATAATATATATATATATATATATATATATATATATATGCACACACATCATACTCACTCATTCCTTAATGAACCAAATGATAACACATACCCATAGTAATATACACGCGAACACACATCATACTCAAATAACACACACACACACACACACTTAACAGAGACACATCCCCTTTCCAGGAACCAATAAAACTGTCAAAATGACCAAGGGAATTCAGAGCAGCATGAATCCACCCAGATCTTATCTCAAATAACAACTTAAAAGAGACTGTTTGACCAACACAAGGACTGACCAAAATTCATGTTAAAAAATAGAAAAAACAAATGAAAATTACAGACAAAACTTCATTTTCTCCATCAAGACATTCATTTCTGTAGTTCACTGCTGCCAGCAAGAAGAAAATTATTTTTCTCCTGATGATGGCCATGTTGGTCAAAACTAGTCGAGGAATATAAATGAAATAATAATAAAAACGAAGGAATATTAATATACAACCCAATTTGTCTGAAGATTTTAATTTTTTTAATATTTTTTATTGTTCAATATATATATATATATATATATATATATATATATATATATATTGTGAGTATTTAGGCAGTATTTTTTCATTCATACACGTTTCATTAAATAATATAGACAAGTGTTGTCTATTTATTTTATGTAAATTCTTTGCATAACGTCTGATAAGCTTAATAACATAATCATTAAACGAAGAAAGAAAATCACAATATTGATCCATATTTTTTAATCCAATCTAAGCTTTCGGCTTACATAAGCCATTATCAAAGATGACAATTACTGTACAATATATTATGCAATATACGGACAAGACAGTGATGATAGTCTGTTTCTGTTTACATGGGAGATTTCCAAGCAACGTCAAATTCGTGCATATAAGACGCTGGAAGCGAAATTCGCGTCGCAGCTCGTGATGTCACACATAACCACGCGAGAGTGAATTCGAGAAGTATTAAGTATGAGAAGCCGTTGGTATAAACCAATGGCTTCTGTTATCAATTATAGACATTTAAGAATATTTGTGGAGAGTTCGTAGTTTATATTGTCCAGGTTAGGTTTCAACTGTTTTATGTATATAGCTTCAAGAATTTTTTAGTTTTTGTTTATTGTTTTCATGTTTAAGTATAGTTGTGTTTTCAACAAGGATCTTCCGGAATTGTGTACGCGGCCAGGCATGTTGTTTTAAATGCCTAAAAATGTTAGAGTTTTCATTCAAATGTAGTGTCAAGGGTCGTGAAATCGAGTTTGTGGTGCAACCAATATAATATATATATATATATATATATATATATATATATATATATGTTCACTTGATACCAGTGTCGCCGATAAAACTAACCTGGCCGTCTGTCCTGAAAAGGACCTCTAATCGGCTGCAGACTGACGGAGGAATTGGTTGGTTAACTTTAACGCCTCAAAAACAAAACTGCTCTCTGTTATTCGCCAGAGAGAACCATCCCCGTCTTAGAATGTCTGACGCTCAACTCCACGAGAGCACCTCTTTGCGACTGCTCGGTCTCACATTGTCCGCTGACCTTAGATGGAACGAATACATTGAGTCAATAGCTTCCTCCACCGCTAGAAATGTTGGCTCCCTATGCCGCGCCAGGAAATTTTTCTCCCCGGAGTCAATCCTTCAAATCTACAAATCAGCCATTCGCCATTGCATGGAGTATTGCTGTCATATATGGTCTGGAGCCCCTTCTGTTTGTCTCAAGGTTTTTGATAAAATCCAAAGACGGATATGCAATGTAATTTGCCCTGAGCTGGCATCTCGTCTGCAGTCGCTCTCTCACAGACGTGCCGTTGCCTCCCTCTGTCTTTTTTACAAATACCTTCACGGTAACTGCTCCGATGAGCTGCTTTCGCTGGTTCCCAGACTTCATGAATTTAAGCGTTCAACTGGGCTGGCATCTCGCTCTCACCCTTTCACTGTTGAAACTGTTAAATGTAGCCGTCTCTTCTACTCCAATAGCTTCATGTCTCGCACTTCTTGCCTGTGGAAATCCCTCCCCAGTTCTTGTTTTCCTGATAGCTATATTCTCCAGCTATTTAAATGTAACGTCAATCGACGTCTCCAGATGCCCTGATCTATCCTCTAACCTTCTCTTCATCTTTTCCTCTATCACTCCTCTTTGTTCTCGCTTCTACTCTGAAACCCTTTGCGAGCTAGTGGCTTCCTGCCTTCCTTGGGGTTGAATGCTTTAAAAAATGCCGCACAAGCTTGAGGCTTGTCGCATGAATGGTAAGAAGCGTAGTTTACGAAGGTATATAGGAAAATAACGGGTAAAAATAGGCTTAAATCGGTTAAAATTGAAGTGGTCTGGGATTCTGTTCCACAAAGCAGCAGTTCTTGGGAAGAAGCCCCCCGAATAGAATTTAATCCTTAGCGTTGAAATATGAATGCAATGAGGGTCTTTCGCCTCGATGTACGGGGCGTGGTGGTCTTAACTGGTAGGCTTTGAATTGGGAGAACTAAGGAATATATCCCGTTCGAATATATTCCACGGGAAGGGCGAGGGAACAGTGAGAGTCTTGCAACGTTTCGTCTGCGGGAAAAAACGGATTTAAAGTGGATAACAGTTCATTGCTCAAATGGCCGCGTTAGGTTGACAATAAACCTGAAGTTAGAAGCTTTGAACTTTATGTGACCGATGCTTTTTCATATTTTTATCGCTTCTCTCATTACTCATTCATAGCTGTTAATGATCTGGAAGCCGCGATCTACGACCCACCCACCCCCAACTAACTGATTCCCCACCCACCCACCATCCCCGAAAATATTAAAGAGAAAAATGATTTTATCTCAGCGCCATGATGTCCAGTCTGCCCTTCCCATCTTCCCAAATGATATTAAGAAACGATCCATTGAACCATCCGTCCACACCCTAATAGATAGATAGATAGATAGATAGATAGATAGATAGATAGATAGATAGATATAAACAGACTGAGATAGATAGATAGATAGATAGATAGATATGAAGAGAATTAGATAGATAGATAGATAGATAGATAGAGAGAGAGAGAGAGATCCATTGAACCATCCGTCCACACCCTAATAGATAGATAGATAGATAGATAGATAGATAGATAGATAGATAGATAGATAGATGAAGAGAGAGAGAGAGAGATCCATTGAACCATCCGTCCACACCCTAATAGATAGATAGATAGATAGATAGATGAAGAGAGAGAGAGATCCATTGAACCATCCGTCCACACCCTAAAGATAGATAGATAGATAGATAGATAGATAGATAGATAGATAGATGAGAGAGAGAGAGATCCATTGAACCATCCGTCCACACCTAATAATAGATAGATAGAGATAGATAGATAGATAGATAGATAGATAGATAGATAGATAGATAGATGAAGAGAGAGAGTGAGAGAGAGAGAGAGATCCATTGAACCATCCGTCCACACCCTAATAGATAGATAGATAGATAGATAGATAGATAGATAGATAGATGAAGAGAGAGAGAGAGAGAGATCCATTGAACCATCCGTCCACACCCTAATAGATAGATAGATAGATAGATAGATAGATAGATGAAGAGAGAGAGAGAGAGATCCATTGAACCATCCGTCCACACCCTAATAGATAGATAGATAGATAGATAGATGAAGAGAGAGACTCGTGCGTTTACACTATCTACGACCTGAGCTCTGCTAGGCCCTCTTCTACAGGCTCCAGACCAACCCTCCCATGGATCGAATCAATTGCCTTATCAATTATTCATATAACACCACCATCTTGTCGATCAGGCTTACATTAGGGCCAAACCAATGACATTCAACTTCCTGTCTGATTTTCATTGAATTTTACTCGTAAAAATCATTACCAGGTCATTCACGTTATATAACTGAATAATGACGGTGTCATTTCCTGGCCATAAACAAACCACCTTTGGCAGATTTGCTATCCACGTTTCTTTGAAAAAACAAATCATTTACAATCTGCTCCAATCGTAAAATCTTTTCCAGTGCATCGTATAATAAAATCGTTTCAAATGCATGTCTATCATAAATTTATTTCCAATGAACATTCATGACAAAATAATTTTGAGTACATATCTAGCAGGAGATTTATAGGCAATATATTCCTAATAGTAAAAACATTTTTCCTATATTAAAATTATTTCCAATATCTTCCTAATAATAAATGGATTTCAAATGCATACCTAATAGTAATGCATTCCTAATAATAAAATCATTTACAATGTATTCAAGAGTAAAATCATTTCCAATGCATTACTTATAGTAACATCATTTACAGTTCATTCCTTAAATCCAATGCAATCCTAATAATAAAATCATTTCCAATGCTTACCGAATAACAAAATCATTTCCAATGCATTCCTAATAATAAAATCATTTCCAATGCATTCCTTGTGGTAAAATCATTTCCAATGCATTCCTAATATAAAAATCATTTCCAATGCATTTGTAAGTATAAAATCATTTCCAATGCATTTGCAATAATAAAATCATTTCCAATACATTCCTAATAATAAAATCATTTACAATGCATTCCTAAAAGTAAAATAATGTCCAATGCATTCCTAATAATAAAATCATTTCCAATGTATTCCCAGTAACAAAATCATTTCCAATGCATTCCTAATAATAAAATCATTTCCGATGCATTCCTAATAATATAATTATTTGCAATGCATTTGTAAGAATAAAATCATTTCCAATGCATTCCTAATAATAAAAATTTATTTCCAATGCATTCCTAATAATAAAATCATTTCCAATGCATTCCTAATAATAAAATCATTTCCAATGGATTCCTAATAATAAAATCATTTCCAATGCATTCCTAATAGTAAGACAAATTTCAATCCATTCCTTATTGTAAGATCGTTTCCACTAGTTTCTTAACAATTATATCATTTTCAATGCATTCCAGTCGTAACATCTTAGAATAGTCCTTCACCTAGTTCTTCGTCTATCGTTCAATGTGAGCGAACCCAGTCTGTTCTTTTTTACCCATAGAAGCGCAAGATGATGACATACATTTCGTAATGATATTTGCGTGAAAATTAACTCTCGGCGGATATTTGAACGCGTCTCTTCGATTCTACTTCACGCGCCAATAACCATGACGATTCACGAACATCTTTCCAACTCATTAATGACATTTAAATGTCTTCTTTTTTTTTTTTACCAAACAACCCAGACCAATGTTTCAACTATTTGTTTCCACCGTACAAAAGAAGCCGTTACCCGGAAAAGATCGAACGTGTATCGCTGTCGCTCTCCAGCGTCTTTTGAAAGTGTCACCCCCTCCACCTTTTGGCGATGAAAATCTCTTACAATTTTTCTTCGTTTCCGTTTTTTTTTTTTTTTTTTTTTTTCAAATCCGCCACCATTACAATATCTACTGCTATTTGGTAACTTTAAAATGGAAGCGTTATGACTTCCCGCCAAGTGATGGAGTTCTCACGAGATTCTCTTTCGATCGTCCTAATAAGGAGGACGTCATTAGGTGACGTCATTACCGAAGAAGAAATACATGATGTCATTGTCATGCCTGTTTATTGCTCTACTAGAGCGCCCTTTTCAGAGAATTTTTTTTTCTAAAAACAAGGAAAATTTATTGAAACAAAACAAGTTCAGTTGACCACTGATGACAATTCCAGAACAACGTAACTATAAACAATTTTTTTATCCTCTGCCAGCCACAATGATATGGAGAAAGCATTACCTCGAACCATCACCAGTGAGACACGCTGCAAGAGCCACTCCGTTTCGCGAGGCTCGTCCCTTAATCCGAGACGCAATCGCGCCAATCCTCCGAAGGAACGCCATCGAACGAGGGCCAATAACCCCTGAAGTCTCCACTGCCACAGGAGTAAAAAAAAAAATCTATCAGTAAGAGAAGAATATTTAACTAGTTTTTTCATCTCTGCATCCCGAGCGACGGATCCTGGCTCAACCGCGGAACTGATCAAATTACCGACCGAAAATGTATCTGCACAGGTCGCATCCCAAATCAACGACTTCCCCATTTTAAAAGAGAAAATGGTAATGCCATCCGGCCGCTTTCCATCACCGCGGTCGAGGCATACGGGTTCGATTTGGGAAGGGAACTCAGCTGCATCCAAACCTCTTTTCATGATGTCGTTAATGGCTGCATGCCTCGCAAAGAGGCCAGCGCTACGATGGCAGGAGAGAGGATGCAAATCAAAGAATTGTAGTTAACTTCTCCAACAATTAAGACCCTCTGAAGGTGTTATAATATTTCTGCTGTACATCTTTCTTCATGTGCTGAGTTCCTTCACGATCATGGCTCTCCACAACTTCCAATATTTTGTAGCTCTTAGTAATACTCGCCTCTTTAATATCCCAGCAAATCTCTGTTCTGCCATCCGTTTGCACAAGCAGATAGGTTATCCTTTTCACTTCTGCCCCTATTGCCTCCGATATGTTCTGGGGGTGTCAAATTCTCCAAGCCTGCTTTCCTCATTAGGTGTCCTAGAAATTTAATCTGACAATTTCTGATTCTAAATGACCATTTTGTTTTCATTTTCCTTAAACCTTTCTGAACTAATTAGAATATTAAGACTAAAGCGTCGTCGCCAGTCGGGTCGATCCCACCTGATGGCTCCCATAAGTCTGGCCTTGTGCCGTACTACGCTCAGCTTATTAAATAAAAATACTGTGATGTCATCGTCGTGTAGTCGAAGTTGATCTCTCCTGGGTGCCATATACACCGGTTCTTGTGTCATATTAAGCTTAGCGATGTAAATATAAATAACTGAATGTCTTGACTGGGAAGAAGAGGGTTAAGAAATGAGGTCGATTAGAAAGAAAGAAAGAAAGAAAGAAAGAAAGAAAGAAAGAAAGAAAGAAAGAAAGAAAGAAAGAAAGAAAATATAGCGAACAAAGTATAAAGAAAGAAAGAAAGAAAGAAAGAAAGAAAGAAAGAAAGAAAGAAAGAAAGAAAGAAAGAAAGAAAGAAAGAAGGGAGGGAGGGAGGAGGGAAAAAGAAAGAAAGGAAGGAAGCAAGCAAGCAAGAAAGGAAGGAAGGAAGGAAAAGAAAGAAAAAATAGCGAACAAAGTGTAAAGAAAGAAAGAAAGAAAAAAAAAGAAAGTAAGAAAGGGAAAGAAAGAAAGAAAGAAAGACAGAAAGAAAGAAAAGAAATATCGAACAAAGAATAAAGAAAGAAAGAAAGAAAGAAAGAAAGAAAGAACGAACGAACGAAAGAAAAAGAAACAATGAAAGAAATATCGAACAAAGAAAGAAAGAAACAAAGAACAAAGAGTGAAGAAAGAAAGAAAGAAAGAAAGAAGAAAGAAAGAAATTAAAAAGAGAAAGAAAGAAAGATAGAAAAGAAATATTGAACAAAGAGTAAAGAAAGAAAGAAAGAAAGAGTGAAGAAAAAAAGAAAGAAAGAAAGAAAGAATCAGCGAAGAAAGATTGAAGAAAGAGAAAAAAGAAAATGAAAGAAAGTAATATCGAACAATGAAAAAGAAAGAAATTGAAATACAAAAATTAAGAAATATTGAATCAAAAAAAGAAAGAAAAGTGAACAAAGAAAGAAATATCGACAAAAAAAAAAAGAAAAAGAAAGAAATATGGAAACAATAGAAAAGAAAGAACCCTGTATACACCGGTTGTTGTGTCATATTAAGAGTAGCATTGCAAATAGAAATAACGGAATGTCTTCTCCGTGAAAAAAAGGAGTTAAGAAGTGAGGTCGATTAAATAGAAAGAAAGAAAGACTGAATGAATTAAAATAGATAGATAGATAGATAGATAGATAGATAGATAGATAGATAGATAGATAAGAACAGAAATAGATAGATAGATAGATAGATAGATAGATAGAACAGAAATAGATAGATAGATGATAAGATAGATAGATAGATAGATAGATAGATAAGAACAGAAATAGATAGATAGATAGATAGATAGATAGATAGATAGATAAGAATAGAAATAGATAGATAGATAGAATAATAGAAGATAGATAGATAAGAATAGATAGATAGATAGATAGATAGATAGATAGATAAGAACAGAAGTAGATAGATAGATAGATAGATAGATAGATAGATAGATAGATAAGAACAGAAGTAGATAGATAGATAGATAGATAGATAGATAATAGATAGATAGATAGATAGATAGATAAGAACAGAATAGATAGATAGATAGATAGATAGATAGATAGATAGATAGATACGAAAAATTTAGATTTGAACAGACTAAAGAAAGAAAGAAAGAAAGAAAGAAAGAAAGAAAGAAAGAAAGAAAGAAAGAAATATCGAACCAAGAGACAGAATGAAAGAAATAAAGAAAGAAAGAAAGAAAGAAAGAAAGAAAGAAAGAAAGAAAGAAAGAAAACACGATAGAATTAACGACGTGCCTCCACCTTAATTATTTGATTAGTTTGTTAATTCCAACAAGTTCGGAAGATAATTACATTTAACAGACGCAAATGAACAATTGCTGAAGCCATCTTTAACCCAGTGGAAGGAAAAACTATAAATAAAATATGATAATAATAAAAATAATAATAATAATAATTGAAGTTGTATTATTATTATTATTATTATTATTATTAGTAGTAGTAGTAGTAGTAGTAATGTTGAAATTAGTTTTTTCCGTGCAGAAAGCATTTGGCATTTATTGACCGAATGGTTATCGTTACTGTCGGTCGAAATTTATAAAATTTTTCTCCTAAAAAAAAATTTTTTTCCGGAAAAAAGAGTTCTCTTTTCAACCAAATGTTATCACGCATTTTTATATTGATAGGAATTTCCTTCCAAGCGTTTTGTTTTAGGTAGTGTAGAAAGTCAACATATTCACAATATCATTATCCCCCACCCGCTTCGAGACACAACTGCTATACACCCGTCTCCGTTTGAAGATTTCAGACGATATAGTTTTTTTTTTTTTTTTTTTGTTTTTTGTTCGTGAAGTTTTTTGTGATTCTGTTTCGTCAGTATATAGCGTTCGATGAAGGATTGTCTGACAACAATGGTCTCTCAGTTTTGGGAGAATTTTAGCTTATTTCCTTTGCATCTTACTTAAGCAGTAGCTACTGAAATAAAGTTTCCGTGTTGGATAAGATGAGAACAATGGTCTATTTTGATAATATGACGATTCCCATTCCTCCCAGTTCTTTTGAAAAGAAGCAGAGGCTTATCAGTTGTTTCCTGTTTACGATTGGCTTTCAAGTTTCTTCCAAACACGTTTCAATCATTTTCACTCCCAGTAGGCCCTTTTGTTTAATGGCATTATCACCTTGCTTAGTGGGAATTTATTTACAAAATAATTTTCAATTCCTAAAAATAAAATCATGTCCAAATGCATTCCTAATGGTAAAATTATTTTCAATTCATTCCTAAAAGTTAAATCATTTCAAATATATCCCTAATAGAAAAACCATTTCTAATGCATTCCTAATAATAAAATCATTTACAATGCATTTTTAATGATAAAGTCATTTCTAATGCATTCCTAATAGTAAAATCATTTCCAGCGCATTCCTAATAATAAAATCATTTCCAATGAATTCCTAATAATAAAAATATATCCAATGTATTCCTAATAGAAAATCATTTCTAGTGTATTCCTAGTATTAAAATCATTTCCAATGCAATCCTAATAATAAAATCGTTTCCAATTCATTCCTATTAGTAAAATCATTTCCAATGTATTCCTAATAGTAAAATCATTTCTAATGCATTCCTAATAATAAAATCATTTCCAATGCAATTCTAATAATAAAACCATTTCCAATGCATTCCTAATAGTAAAAATCATTCTAGTTGACTTTACTTGCATTTTATTTAAGCAATAGTTTTTGAAATAATGTCTCAGTTTTTGGTTAAGCAAGGACAGTGATTTATTTTGCTATAAGACCGACTCACACACCCTCCTCCGGTTCTTTAAACATCCTTTGCTACATACCGATAAAAAAATTGTTTTTCAACTTTCCATTTTATACGAGACAATGCTGTAACGCCCTGTGTTCCTTTTGCAAGAGAAAATCTGAAAGAGTATCGTTGAATTCGCTGCCTCGCATATTTTCTTCGTATTATGTGAAAAAAAAAAGATATTCTTTTATAAACTGATTTTATTTTTACTTAAATGGTCATAAATAAATACGCTGCTTGGTTAGTTTTGTTCAGCGGCATATCAACATCTCTATGGTTTATTTATTGCCGAAATCTAAATATTTTGAACGCAAGTGTATACCTTCAACTGCAGATAAAATGTATTCTTAGTCATTATAGTATAATATGTATTGATGATCATTTTACTATAAATATGCATTGCTGTTCATCTTGCTTTAAATATGTATTGATGATAATTTTGCTTTCAAAATGAATTGCTGGTAATTTTTATATAAAAATGGGTTGCTGGTATTTTTACCATAAAAATGTATTTTTTTTATGCTTTCATAGTGTTTTGTTTTTGTTTGAGGGTTATTTGCCCATAGCTGGGACCCAAACAGGTGCTACCACCCTGGGTAAGCAGCTATGGGCAAATAGCAAAATTTCGCGGGTGCGCAACTGTGTTGACACGCCCGGAACGACATTTTTCCCACACACTGCTTCGTCCACAACCTAACTGTGTTCACATCCACTGAGTGGTCTCAATAAACGTTCCGCAAGATTCGATGAAAGTGAATAGGTGACGATTTCACTGACATACACATGCTTTGAACACCCTTTCATACCAAACGCCAATAGTAGCAGTAACATTTTTATTTAAATTAAATAAAAATGAAAAAAAAGATACCCTCTGTTTTTCACGCCGAGTTCGTTTGGCACAAGGACATCATTTTAGGGCTCTAGTTAAAAATCCAAATCATTACTTGGTAGAAATGGTCGACTGGACTGTCTCCATAATGAGCAACACGACGATGCACCCGCCATATATAGTCTGGCACAAGGCTAGAAGCTTGAGGTAGCCAGTGAGAATCGAGGTCACTACTCAGTAGCAATGTTCGACTAGACGAGCACGCTAACCACAAGGCACATGTCGATGCGGCCATAAATATTTAACTGTATTTAGTGTGGCACAAGGACATTAATTTGAGGCGCACCAATAAGGATAGAAATCATTATTCATATTTATAAACATGACCCACAAGCCGATGCGCCCGTTCATAATCGCTAGTATTCTGTCTGGCACAAGGTCAAATGTTTAGAGCACTTTAAGACTGGGACTCAGTAGTAGTGTTCATCTAAACCAACTCGTTAACCATCACCCTTCCTGACGCCATAGATTCCCAAGTTGGCATCTACGCAGACGACACTACAATTTACTCCTGCCTCAAAAACAAATCTAGTGTCGGTGACAAAACTAACCTGGCCGTGCGTCTTGAAATGGACCTCCAATCGGTTGTTAACTGGGGCAAGAATTGGCTGGTCAACTTTAACGCCTCAAAAACTAAACTACTCTCTATTAATCACCATAGTGATCCTTCCCTGTCCCCCATTAAAATGTCTGATAGTCAACTTCTTGAGAACAACTCCCTGCGTCTGCTCGGTCTCACGCTGACTGCTGACCTGAGATGGAACAAATACATTGAGTCAATTGCTTCTTCCACCGCGAGGAAAGTTGGCTCTCTGTGCCGCGCCAGGAAATTTTTCTCCCCGGAATCGATACTTCAAATATACAAATCAACCATTCGCCCTTGCATGGAGTATTGCTGCCATATATGGTCTGGTGCACCTTCTGTTTACCTCGGAGTTCTTGACAAGATCCAGAGACGGATATGTAATATAATTGGCCCTGATCTGGCATCTCGTCAGCAGTCGCTCTCTCACAGACCCGCCGTCGACTCACTCTGTCTTTTTTTACAAGTACTTTCATGGCAATTGCTCCGAGGAGCTGCATTCGCTGGTTCCCAGACTTCATGAATTCAAGCACGCTACGAGGCTGGCATCCCGCTCTCACTCTTTCACTGTCGAAACTACTAAATGTAGCCGTCTCTTCTACTCCAATAGCTTCATATCTCGCACCTCTCGCCTGTGGAACACCCTTTCCTATTACTGTTCCCCTGAGAGCTATAATCTCCAACTATTCAAATGTAATGTCAATTGACATCTCCAGTTGCCTTGATCTATCCACTATCCTTCTCCTCATCCTTTCCTCTATCACTCCTATCTGATCTTGCTTCTGTAACCCCTTGTGTCCTAGTGGCTTCTAGCCTTGCTTGGGGTGAAACGCTAAAAAAAAATATCACCCACCTCCAAGGTGTTGCGATATCGTTAATAGGAAAAAAAAAAAAAAAAAAGAAAGAAAAATTAGCAATGACGAACATTTTTAATTTCCGTAACAGGCATTATTCCAACACCACCCCCCCACGACCACGCCTTCTTTGGTGTCACCTAGTGCGATACACTTCTTAACGATTAAGACCCCCCCTCCTCATCCTAAAGACCGCATCGGGACGCAACCTTCCCATTTGTTTGTTCGGGAGACATTGAGGGTAGATTTGACTGTCAATTTTCCTTTGTTTAACAAAAACAGGCATTATTCAACACCACCCCCACGACCACGCCCTTTGGTGTCACCTAGTGCGATACCTTCTTCAATTAAGACCCCCCCTCCTCATCCCCCCGCATCGGGACCAACCTTCCCATTTGTTTGTTCCTCAGACATCCACCGCCGCCTGTCAATTTTCCTTTGTTTGTCTCAATCCTTTATCAAGAGCTGCCCCCCCCCTTGGCCCCCAAATCCACCGCCGCCGTCACGTTCAATCGATCAGCTTTCGCGTCACGTTTGTTTTTTCTTTGTTTTTTCTTGATCTGCCTATTGACGCGCCTGTCTACCTATCGATCCAACATCTCAGTTTAATCATAGACCCGTTTTGTTTCTATCTGTATTTTTTTTTCTATTAACGCACAATCTATATAGCCATTCAATTATACTATTCTAATCCTGATCTACATGTAACTAAATCTCTTTCTCCTTTTCTTTCTTTCTTTCTTTCTTTCTTTCTTTCTTTCTTTCTTTCTTTCGTCTTTTTCTTTCGACTTTTCTTTCTTTCATCCTTTCTTTCTTTCTTTCTTTCTTCTATCTTTTCTTTCTTTCTTTAGGTTAATTCATTCTCAAAGGCTTTTCATTATCTGTCTACAGCAGTCTGTCTATCTATCTATCTATCTATCTATCTATCTATCTATCTATCTATCTATCTATCTATCTATTACAGCCTATTCATTATCTATTTATCTATCTATCTATCTATCTATCTATCACTGTCTGTTCATGGTCTATTACAATCTATTCAGTACCTATCTATCTATCTATTACAATCTATTCATTACCTATCTATCTATCTATCTATCTATCTATCTATCTATCTATCTATCTATCGCAGTCTATTCATCTATCTATCTATCCATTTATCTATCTATCGCTGTATATTCATTCTCTATCTATTGCAGTCTATCTATCTGTCTATTCATTATCTGTCTATCTATTCATTTATCTCTTACTGTCTATTCATTATCTATCTATCTATCGCAGTATATCTATCTATCTATCTATCACAGTCTATTCATTATCTATCTATCTATCTATCTATCTATCTATCTATCTATTACAGTCTATTCATTATCTATCTATCTATCTATCTATCACTGTTCATGATCTATTATTGACTATTCATTACCTATCTATCGCAGTATATCTATCTATCTATCTATCTATCTATCGCTGTCTGTTCACTGTTCACTTTTATATTTATATTTACATACGCTCTATCTCTGATATTGAGCACTTTATCTCACAAATATAGCACACCTTAAAACTATATTTCTTCGTATATATATATATATATATATATATATATATGTGTGTGTGTGTATTATATATACACAATTCTGGAAAATCCTTATTGAAAACACAACTATACTTAAACATGAAAACAATAAACAAAAACTAAAAATTCTTGAAGCTATATACATAAAACAGTTGAAACCTAACCTGGACAATATAAACTACGAAATCTCCACAAATATTCTTAAATGTCTATAATTGGTAACAGAAGCCATTGGTTTGTACCAACGTCATCTCATCCTTAATACTTCTCCAATTCACTCTCGCGTGGTCATGTGTGACGTCACGAGCTGCAGTGCGATTTTCGCTTCCAGCGTCTTACATGCACGTGTTTGTCGTTGCTTGGGAATCTTCTATGTAAATAGAAACAGACTATCATCACATTCTTGTCCGTGTATTGCTTAATATATTGTAATGCAATTGCCATCTTTGATAATGGCTTATGTAAGCCAAAAGCTTAGATTGGATTAAAAAATTTGGATCAATATTGTGATTTTCTCTCTTCTTTTAATGATAATGTTATTAAGCTTATCAGACGTTATGAAAAGAATTTAAATAGAATAAATAGACGACACTTGTCTATATTATTTAATGAAACGTGTGTCACTATATATATATATATATATATATATATATGTGTGTGTGTGTGTGTGTGTGTGTGTGTGCGTGTGTGTGTGTGTGTTTAATCGAGTTCAAATTAAATTAGAGGGTCACCGGACCATATTTGGCAACAATATTCTAAGCCTTGACGATATATTTATATATATACAACCCCTTTTTCGAACGTAACTAATAACTGATACAACAAAAGTTAATGAAAATGAACACGCAACCACCCCTTGTCTGGATAAGTGGACTTCTCTGTATCCTTGGAAACATGATTTATGAATTTTTGCCGTGCATTTAAAACTCGGTAAATTTAAAAATAAGTTACTCCAGAATTCGCTTGAGGATGAAATGGAACTAATGTTTTTAATTTAATTACAAAATTAAATTTGAATATTCCATTTTTGAAACATGATTAGAACTGTGTAGCGGAAAAAAAACTATTTTAAATCAGTTAATTTATAATATTAATGCTCTGTAAATTTACATTGAGCACTATTTTGCAAAAATAAAAAATATCTGTAATATCTATAATAATATCACTGTCTTCTCTCTTGTCCTAAATGGCTTGAGATATATATATATATATATATATATATATATATATATATATATATATATATATATATATCCCTTTCTCAACTTGTATGAGAAATACAAAAAGAAACACTCCGACTCTCCTGTGTCCCAGGCTATCGACGTGATTGATTTGGAAGGATCGTTGTCAATCATGTCCTGGATCTCATTAAAAAATTCGGGAGTTCTTTTCTTATAAGAATGATCAGAGGGAGTTTGTTTTTTGCTTTTTTTTCAAGCTGGCGTACCTTCATAATCACCATTAAACTCATCCAACTCTTTCCGAATCCTCTGCACTGTCCTGAAATGGACACCCACACACTCTGAAATGTTTGTATTGGAGCTTCCGGTGCGAATGCCAAGCAGTACAGCAAGCCATTTCCAAATTTCTGGTGGAGTGAATTGCGTCATGGTGCCCTTTTTCTCACCGTGGGTGTCCAACTGATTTTACTATACTGTGCAGTCAACAAAATCAAAAACAAACAACTCGCATGCCCAATGCACCACACACACACACACACACACACACACACACACACACACACACACATATATATATATATATATATATATATATATATATATAATTAAGTTATGAAAACTTGGTAATCCGTATGGGTAATCCCAAGGAGGATGAAAGCTCAATGTAAATTCAGAGCTAATATTTTAAAGAAAAACAGACCACTTTAAGGTACCATTATAATAATTTATTTCACCAGAGCCTTTTAAAGGACGCCGGATCATCAGATAGCACTTTCAAAAAATGAAAATTGATGGGTAGTGTGAGTTTTTGTAATTTAACAGAGAGGGTAATAAGGAGTGGTTAGAGAGACATGGTAGAGTTTAGAGAGGGTTTAATTTTATATTTCTCTCAATCATACTTAGTATAGGGGGAGGAGAAATGACCAGACCATGACCTATTTAAACGGTTAACTTAACGGAATTGATACATTACCAAGTTTTTCATAACTTATATATATATATATATATATATATATATATAAGCATATACAACTATACCAAAAAAATACCTAGTAAATATTTATTCAAATTTAGCTCAATAGATATTCAATATATAAATTATTCATTTTTTATGGCCATATAATCTGTTTGCATCCAGGGGCGTATATATATATATATATATATATATATATATATATATATATATATATTCCTAAAGAATTAGTAGATTTTTTTATTAATCCCATAGATTGTATCACTTCCCATTGATTGTATCACTTAAACGCTATGTTTTTATTTATTTACTTTTTTAAATATATCTTTTTTTTATGTTTCTCGAATATTCAGGCCGGTATATACTGTTTTATAAATATAGATATACTGCTTTATAAATAAACGGAACGTCTAATCAAATACGGGTATCCGCTAAAAAATTAAGTATAAAATTTCAGATAATATATATATATATATATATATAATTCTGGATTGAAAAGCATCCAGAAACACTATATCCCAGATTCACTAAGGAATTCATTATCGATAGTATAGACCCAATTCTAAACAATAACACCTTTGAATTTGACAACAAAAACTATATCCAAAACCTTGGTACCGCAATGGGAACAAAAATGGTACCAACATATGCCACCCTAACATTAGCTTACCTAGAGGGAAACCACTATGAAGAGACAGAACAAATATATGGGAAAAATATAAAACCCACTTCACTAAATCTTGGAACCGATACTTAGATGATTGCTTCATTTTCTTGAAATCCTCATGGAGTGATATTAACCAATTCCACACTCTACCTCAGAACTTTAACACCAAAATCTAATTCACCCAAGAATATAATTTCAACGAATTGCCATTTTTAGATATATTCATTCGAAATAAAAACAACCACATAATCACAGATATCTACCACAAATCTACAGACACCTATCTTTGTTTCAAGAGCCATAAACAAAAAAGCTGCCGGAAATCCATCAATTATTCACTAGTGCATAGGGTTTGTACTATAGTGACTAACAAACCTAAGTACTACATAGAAGTCTAAAAAAACTGCTAGTCTACCCCACAACACTAATAAACAAAGGTTTTGAACTCGCAAAAAACGTTTAATAGAAGTCAGTTATCAGTTATTTCCTGTTAATTTCCCTCTGAAAGTTCTCCACTGCCTTAATGTTATGCCATAGTACCTATTCTATTGTAATGGACTCTCCCATAGATAATAAGTAGGAGTAGCAGTGGCAAGTCTGGCAGAATGGTGTTGAGCGCGTCAGTCGAGATTCGGATAATTTGAAGTACCAACAATCACAACTAGATTGCTGCGCCATTGACTCTTATTTTCCAAGTTCCTAACGTTTTGTACGTCGGACCTAATTTAGGATGACTTATTAGAAATACAAGCCTCCACTGTGAAAACACTCCACAACACTTAACCAGGTATTGAACCCACACTCTTTGGGTTCTGTCATTTGATCTAACCAACGCCTTTATCCACTGTGCCATGCGTGTGAGTTCAATATCTGGTTAAGGCAGTGGAGAACTTTCAGAGGGAGATTAACAGGAGATAACTGATCTCCTGCAAATTCCCCTTTACAAGCTCTCCATTGAACTCACACTCTTTGGGTCCTGTCATGGCACGCGGAACTAGAACAGCCTACGCCAGTGAGCGAGAAATAAAGGGTCTCAGTTCGACCTTACAACCGAAACGTTGAAATAAATAGGCGACAAAGATGAGGACAACGGTCCGAAAACGTTGTACATAAATAAATACGGCGATACAAAGATGAAACGGATAAATAGTCGACGAACAATAGTCCGAATAATGTAAATAGTGTACATAATACCTCATCTCAGAAATATAGACAGATACTGAAAGGCCGAAACGTTGTAATAAATATGGCGACAAAGATGAGGACAATAGTCCGAATAATGTAAATAGTGTACATAATACCTCATCTCAGAAATATAGACAGATACTGAAAGGCCGAAATGTTGTAATAAATATGACGACAAAGATGAGGACAATAGTCGAATAATGTAAATAGTGTACATAATACCTCATCTCAGAAATATAGACAGATACTGAAAGGCCGAAATGTTGTAATAAATATGAAATATAGAAAGATGAGGGACAATAGTCCGAATAATGTAAATAGTGTACATAATACCTCATCTCAGAAATATAGACAGTTATATTGTTTTATTAGAAACATATTCTGAAATGAATAAAACTTTTACGATCGGTCTTAAATTTATTATCGCCTGTGAGTGTGTGTATATATATATATATATATATATATATATATATATATATATATATATATATATATATAATACACATACATGTTTTCCTATACATATAAACATAATACGTACATGCGTAACATATATACTGAGCCATTGTGTTGGAATGTGTGTGGGGGTGTATACGTGTGTACGCATGTAACATTTCCGTATATTTCTTGATAGGCGTATATATCTATTTATCAATATATATATGTTCATATTATCTATATATATATATATATATATATATATATATATATATATATATATATATTTGTACACATTTCTTTATTGAATATATGCATCTATAAACATGCATTCGTATTCAATTTCGATCGAGTAAAAGAATTTATTCTCTAACTGAATACGACAGGAGTGTTATGACATAATGTTAAAACCGCCACATTGTCGATTGACATCTTTATATTATATTTGTCGATTTCAGATTTAATTTTACGCGATTTTTTTTTATATTCCTTCATTGTAAAAAAAAAATGGATTCATAGAAAATCAACATCGGCCCAACGAAGCCATCGTGAATAATTCCAAAAGAAAGTTTAAAAAGAATCATCTCTCTCTCCCCCTCTTTCTCTATCTACCTATCTATCTTTATTTCTCTCTCACTCACGCTCTCTCTCGCTATTTCATTCTCTCTATTTCCCTTCCTCTCTTTCTGTTACTCTCTCTCTCTCTCGCTAGATATCCATTTCTCTCTCACTTTCCTTATATATATTCTCTCTCTCTCTCTCTCTCTCTCTCTCACTATTTCCTTCTTACTCTATTTCTCTCTATTTCGATCTCTGTCTTTCTCTCCATATATTTCATTATCTCTCTATTTCACTCTCTCTCGCTATTTCGCCCTCTCACTCTATTTCTCTACTCTCTCCCTCCTCCTCTCTCTCTCTCTCTTTCTCTCTCTCTCTCTCTCTCTCTCTCTCTATCTATCTATCTATCTTTTTTCCCCCTTTTTTCATCTTGCAGTCTCTTGTACACACTCCATCTCCCTCTCGCTATGTCTTACTTACTCTCACTCTCACTCTTTCGCTCCCGCTCTCTCCCTCACACATATTCACACCCTCTTATAATTTCACTCTCTCTTACTCTCCCCCTCTCTCTAATACTCCTTTTTACTTCTCTCGCTCTCTCTCTCTCTCTCTCATGCTCTCCCTAAAAGATTCAAACTGGATCCCTTTCACAGACATCTGTTTCAAGCTCTCTCTCTCTCTCTCTCTCTCTCTCTCTATCTATCTATCTATCTATCTATCTATCTCGCTAGCTCCCTCTATCTCTCTCTCACTCTCTCTTATTGTAAATCATATTCTCTCTTTCTCTCGCTCAGACTTTCTCCCTCTCTCAGACTCTGAGACTGGGACCTTCTCTCTCTCTCCCTCTGAAACTCTCTCTCTGAAACTCACTCTCTCTCTGAAACTCTCTCTCTCTCTCTCTCTGACACTGTCTTTATGACATCTCTCTCTGACACACTCTCTCTCTCTCTCTCTGACAGTCTCTCTCTCTCTCTCTCTCTCTCTCTCTCTGACGCTCTGAGACTCTCTCTCTAAGACTATTTTTCTCTCCCTGACGCTCTTTCTCCCTCCCCCCTCTCTTTCTCTCTCTGACCTCTCTCTCACTCTGAAACTCTCTCTCTCTCTCTCTTATTTTCACTCTCTCATTTGACTCGCTTTCTACAACTATTTTACCCTCTTTGTAATACCCCTCTCTCTTATAAACACACATATACG